GAGTTGCTCTGAAAGCTGAGACTGGCTCCCCTTGGACTCTTAAATCAAATTATCCTGGAAAGCAGAAAGGCTCCAAGCCTTGCCTGAGCCAGAACACAGTATTTCCTGGGACTCAGCAATTGCCTTAAATCACAGCTTCCCTAATCCAAATTTGGAAAAAGTGTCATTCAGATGTTTGACCCATAGCTGCACAGTGATGCCATCATCCCACAGCTGCCACAAACACAGCACCAGTGGCCAGAAGGGGTGGCCCCATTCTGTGTGTTGCTGCCTGCTCCATGTGAGTAGGCATACATCAGCTGTGGGTAAATAAAGACTTTTTATTTATTAAATTTTCTGTATTCAAAACAAAAAAAAAATCTCTTTAAGAAGAGCAAATGGATAAAAAAAATTGGTGTAATTTTTCAGATGGGGATGATCAAAATGCCACAGGAAGGATGAGATCTATTCCCAGCTGTCCAGCTGAAGTTTATCCTCTGGATGGAACAAAGCAAAAGTCTGTATCCAGAGAGCTCTTGAGTTTTTCTGGATTCAGGAATCCACCCTGGTTGAAGATGTAGCTCCCTCCTCACCTGTCTAGTCCCCCTCTATATGCCCTGCAAAGCTCTATCAGTAAAGACTCTCAGCTTGCTTTCACCAAGGCACAGGGGACATTTAACAAGTCCCCCCCTTTTTTTTTTAAGAATATGTTCCTTCCTTGCAAAGCTCTTGGCTATTCCTATCTTCCTAAAAAAGTCTTTAAAAAAAATGTTTGTGGTGCTAATGGTATGGAAAGAGCTAAATCTTTATGCCATTTTTAGCCCTTTTGGAACAGAGAGAATTGGAGGATCTGAAAATATATGCTTAATCGCCCCCAAGGAAAGACTGCCATAATATTTTGGGTTACATAAGCAAACTAAATTGGAAATCTGGAATCTATTCAAGACCTTTTGATCAGGGAGCTTTGCAAGTGCAGAAAAGTAAAAACACAGACAGATGGGGATTAGAGTTGAGCATCAGGAGAATAATTTCCTCTTTTAATTTCAGTTCCACCAACATATAAAAAGCATTAACAATCCAGTTACGTAACGTGTGTCAGAGCCTGGCTGGACAGGGCAGGAATTCTCTCTGTAGTTAAACCATTACCCAGCCCATGTTTGCTGCACGGAGGCAGGAGTCCCTCTGCACCAGGGAAAGACACCCCCCTCACTCCCCTTCCTTCAAAAATCTGAGCAAATGTCCTGGCCAAAATTAGAAGCAGTTATTGAAGCTAATAGGAGCTGCAGGGGGTTCAGGGAAAATGGAAACCAACTCGGAGAGACCGCTGGGCTCAAAAAATCCAATTGACAATCACTTGCAAACCCCAATCCACTCTATTTCTCTCTATCTTTGTCACTAAATCAGCTTCAGTGGGAGAAGTGAGATCAGGCTGAAGAGCAAGAGGAGATATTTTTGCTGGTTGTTTGATGTTGGAAACAATAGTGCATAATATACTTGTTTTAATAGTGATACCTTTGAGAGAAGGTGCTACAACATCCAAAGGCTGGAAATAGTCCCACAGATTTGAGGCTGTGAAGGCTGGCAGATTGGATTATGTTTCTGTTCTTGCCTGTTTTCCTCTGCTTGGGGCATATTTTTGTGCACAGTGGTTGATGCAGAGTGATGCAAAAAAGAACTAAGAGGATGGTCTAAATAGAACTACTTACATTTCAGGATCAACTCGCTCCTCAGCTTCTGGGCTTCTCACTTCAGATTTTGAAGAGTGTCTGATACCCCTGGACATCCACATTAAGAACTATTTGCCTACTGGAAGTACTGGAAGCAGCTCTCTAGTCTGCTGATGTCTGCAGCCTTTAGATAAAAGTCACTCCTTCCACGTAGCTGATTTTTTTGGGGATGTTTTTGAGAATTTCTGCATGAAGATTTAAATGCAGTTACTTTTGCTTGCCTTCACTCTTTTTACATGGACTTAGATGGGAGTAGGAGTGAGATTTCATGGACTGGGTCTGCTTTTCTTAATTTCAATTAATATGGCATATAGGAAGAGATCTGTATTTTTGGCATTGCCTTATGATACTCTGCATGAGTTCAGAGGAGTCTCCAGGCAGTCTCTGCAGCAGAGCAGTCCTGGGAGCTTTCCTCCTGAGAAATCCCAAATTGTCCAAGACAAATCCCTGGAGCTCTCTTGTGGTGCTCACCCCAGTCCCTTGGGGAAAGGTATGGCTTGGAAATCATGACTGCCTGGAAAATGTGCAGCAGGGTGTGATGGCAGCCCACAACCTCTGGGTTTGAGCAGCTCGAAGACAGCTGCTGTGAGAGCAGCTGTGAGGAGGACTTGGGCTGCTGGACGTGACCCTAAACATGCATTAGCAGTCCCAAAATCCAACCGTGTCTTGGGTGCACCACAAGAAGTTTCAACAGCAGGTCGAGGAAGGTGACTGTGTTGAATCACCCACCCAAAATACTTTGTCCCTGGGGTCCCCACCATAAGGAGGGTGTGGATGTGCTGGAGCAGATCCAGAGGAGGCCACAGAGATGATCAGGGCTGGAGCCCCTCTCCTCTGGAGCCAGGCTGGGAGAGCTGGGGTGTTCAGCATGGAAAAGAGAAAGTTCTGGGGAGACTTTAGAACCTCTTCCAGTGCCAGAGACCTGGAGAGGGACTATGGACAAGGACCTGAGGTGGCTGAACAGGAATGACTTCAAACTGACACAGGGAAGGTGTAGTTTAGATATCAGAAAGAAATTTGCCCCTGTGAGGGTGGTGGGGCCCTGGCACGGATTGCCCAGAGGAGTTGTGGCTGCCCCATCCCTGGAAATGTTCCAAGCCAGGAAGGATATGACTCTGAGGAGCCTGTCTGATGGAAGGTATCTCTACCCTGGGTTTGGAACTAGATGGTCTTCAAGGTCCATTCCAATCCAAACCCTTCTGTGTTTCTAGGAGGCTGCACTGGGGTTTGTGGATATACCACCACAAGGCTTAGGTGCTGCACTGGGATTTGTCAATACACCATCACTTTTCTCGCTGAATTGCTGAGCAAGTGTGAGCCCAGACATTCATTGGACCTGGGGGCTGTGGTTATTTCTGGACCACGAGAAGACCACAACAAGAAGAATTAGCATGTGTGAGTGGTAGTCTGCAGGCTCAACAATAAAGAATACGAAATAAATATGTTCTTCCACAATAAAGAAACAAAAATAAGAGAGAAGCATTAAAAAAATTAGTTGTACACATGACTGGCACATCATTTCCATCCAAATGGGTTATGCCGTAGGTGCAGATGAGATCATGGGCTGCTATTTAAGGAGGAAACCTCTACTTACATAAATGTCTGATTATGCAACTGTCATGGAAACCACAGATGACAAAGATGTATTAGATTAGCTTGTCCATTCCCTTGGAGCACAGGATTGTTCCTTGTGGTTTATTTTTCACTCAAGATTTTAAGAACTGATTGGCAACTGCTGGGTGCTGAGCTTAAGAAGAAATGATTTATAGTATGAGCTAAGCTGTCCCATTTCTAAAGGTGTTTTTCTTTGGAAATTCAGGAATAGAAGTGCTTAAAGTCACAAAGATCCTCACACCAGTGTTTAGTTCATCCTTGTCCTTGTATGCTTGGAGTGTTGTGGCTTTCATTCCTTAAGATACAGGCCAGAGTCTTAGAAACTTTTACCATTCTGCCTGATCTTCCTTTAGTTTTCATCCCCTGATAGTGTTGTCTTTCCAAATAATGCTCCATTTTCTCTGGTTTTGCACTCTGCCAGTGTGTCCCTCATGGTTGCTGCTTAACCAAGCTATACAAAATATGCTGCTCTTAATCTTTGCTCACAGGTCAGTCTTCTGAGCCACGCTCATTTTTGCTGCTGCACAGGGAAATCAGCAGAGATTAGTATTTTGATCTTCTTTCCCTATTTGAAGAAACCCCAGGACACATATTGAATGGTTTTCCTGTGACTTGAAATTAAAATGTTTAAAAACAAGTGTATTTATATCTCTTTTTCTCTACTTTCACCTCTAGTTCCTCTCAGCCATTGATTTACTGCTCTTTTGCCTTAGAAATGGTGCTTTTTGGAACAAATTGAACTTCAATTTGGCTTCTTATCGTGAATTGAGTGTTGTTGGTATGTCATGAGCTATATGGTTTAGTCTCACCCATGTTCATTCTGCAGAATTAACCTGAACTGGTTATCAACCAAACCCTCTGGGGTTGTCCACTCTCACCAGAAATGAGATTTAGGATGATGCATGGCAAGACAAAGACAAAAATATTAATGCTAAATACCAGAGATATTTAGCATCATTTTTGTCAACTGGTCCCTCTTTGATTGTGTTTTCCACTCACTCACAGTGTGTTTGGTTGCTGCTATTTTCCCTAAAGGTCTCCTTGTTCTTAATCCCAATGGTTGCTGAACTCAACTCCTGCTCCCCTCATGTCCAATTCAGATAATGAGAAACAAGTATAATGGGTATTTCTTGTTATTAAGACCTATTGAGGGTCATGCTTAAAGAATTTCAAGCATTACATGATTTTTATGTGTAATGGGACTTTAGCCAGGATCACAGGGAAAATGAAATTCAGGGTCTGTCAGATCCCAGGAAAGAAACAGGCTGGAGAGTTGGGTCTTCTCTGGCAAGGGATCCCAGAGCCAGCCTGTGCCTGACCATTCCCCATGGTTGTCAGCAGGGAAGCTGCTGCTGCAGAGCACAGGGAGAAGCTGATATCCAATTAGCAAGAATCCAAAATACAAAACAGCTTCTCTCCGAACCATTGCATCAGGCTTGCGAGCTAAGTCTGTTCTCGCTGAAGTAATTTGAAAAACTCTTAGTGTTAGCATGGTTCTCACTGCCAGCCCTTCCAAGCACCTTAGCAGTGACCTACACCTTCCCTGTCTTCCTCTAGGACTATTTTAGCCAGGGCTGTCAGTGGAACGGAATTGTTCCATTATATGGTGGCTTTGCAATGTGGCAAACTGTTCAGGAGGGACCACTCTCTATATAGGAGGAGAGTAACTCAGTCTCCAGGGCCAATTCAGTCACTGATTTTTATTTATTTATGATTTTATTTTATATTTTCCCAGGGCAGCTGATACAGAGAGCAATTACAGTGGTGATTTTCTGTGCTGTGGATCTCGACTGTGCTGTGGAGGGACCTGTGCTTATTTCACATCAAACCCCACTGCACAGCAGTGCTTTCCAGGCGTTACTGAACTGAGACAAATTTGACCCTGGAGATAAAAATTTGAATTGTAATGTCTCACCCTGGATATCCTTCCATAAGAGAGAAGACAGTGAAGCACAGTGTTTGTGGGATGATTTAGAAGACAAAAGCACTCCAACTACTCATTTTAAATCACAGCAATTGGACTATGCACAGCCACGCCAACTGGTTTTGGAGCAGGTCAGATGAGTTCCAGCCATTTCTTCAAGTATTTAAGGGAAGTCCTTAACAAGAACCTGCTTTGTTACACTTCTTATAATTACAAGTTACCCGAGGAAGAACTTTCTGGGTCCCCTCCCCATTTTTCCGCAGCAGATGCCCAAGTTGCTGCTGTCTTGTGCCCCACAAGCAGACACATTTCTGCAGGAATGATCCCTGAATTTAATCTAAAAGCTTCTGAGAGCCTTCTAAATAATTTCAGCATGAGCTATCCTTAGGAAGTTAAAATCAAAGGCACAAGGACCAGCATATATAATAAGATGGAAATGGCAAAATGAGAATCACATTGAAGGATTTGGGACTTTTCTCCCTGTATGGATTCCAAAAGGGGTCATGAGTTTGCAGTGGTCTGGCAGGCAGAGAGATGCTGTGCATTCAGCACAGGCAGCAATTACATCTCCTTTTTCTAAATTATGTTATCAGGAAACATCTATATTGTTCGTATGGGTCTAGATTATGCTCTGAGAATAGAATGTTCCCTGCATAAAGAGCACAGCTGGAGTAAATCAATGAGGATGCACTCAGAAACATCAATTAAAGGCAATACAAGTCTAGTGTAGTATCAGGGAGGGAGCCGAGTTTGAAAATCTGATCTTCCCAACCCTGCCTTCCTCTCTAGGAAAGCACCAAAGCAGAACTACTAAGAAATTCATAAGGTTTAAAAATAAAATACTTGTCTCCTCTCATCCTCATCTTTACTCAGGTTTTTACTCAGTGCTGGTTCCCAGCATAGTAGATGAGTGTAATGTTTTTCTCCAGATCTTAGAGTCCTGCTGCATTAAGGAGTTGTCTCTCTGCACGTGTCACAAGCTGACTACCTGGGGTTTGAGGTACATGCTTTGGGACACCTGAAATCTGATTGCTTGAGGTGCCAAGAGCCCATCAGTGACCCAGTGGAAGTCAAGAAAATCAGGTTCCAGTCTTCTTCAGAGCACCACCTAGAAATTCAGATTTTCAAAGTTAACAGTGATGTCAGAATACAAAATAACAGCAAATCTGTGACAGAGGTGGGAACAAAATCTAGACTGTTTTACCTGTCACGTGTGTAATACCTGGAGCTCATCTGCAGAGGGGTGAGTAATCTGGCTTTGTACATCATTAGTAAGGGACATGTCTGTAAACATTGTCATCACGTTCTCCGCTGATCCCAGATATTTCCTGTTATTGAGGCAAATGAGAAATTAATGTGAATTTTCCTTCAGCCTATTAATTCTGCATCCCCTTTGCAAATATTAATTCAAATGCAAAATCTGAGCCTGGGTTTGAGCCTCCCCTGTTCTCCACACAGTTCATGCACAGGGTTCCTGCTCAGGCACATTTGTTACCTACGTGATGCTCATCCATCATCGGGATTGTAATTGTGAGGGGTGGAAAATTTTCTTCTCACTATTCAGAAGGAAAAAGACCTTACAAAGAATTTATAAGCTTCTTCAGCTAAATTAATTATTCAGGAAAGGGTATTTTTCACTGCAAGGAGCATAGGCGAGCAGATTCCATTCATAGCTCAAATGCCAAATGATTTAAGCACCTTTGGTTTTAGTGGCTTTAATTAATATTAAGGTGGTGGAGGAGGGGTGTTAGTGTTTTGGGTATTTTTCTTTTTTTTTCCTTTAATGCTTTTTCCTGTTGGGCAGAAAGCTGCTCCCTTTTCGTCACAGCCTGGATAATGAATTGCAGTGTACAAAGCCAGTCACACAATACGCAGCAGCGGCAGCGCGGAGCAAGAATCTTTGGGAAGAGTTTCCATAGAAACATTGACGTCCTCCTGGTGAACAGGACACTGAGTTCCTTCAATGGGAGGTATGGGGTTTTAAAGGAGCAGTGAGGTGGCGGGAAGCCAAGCCAGCAGAGCTATGACTCTGCATGTCCCAGCAGAATAGAGGATTGGAGCTGGTGGGAGGGGAAGGAAAAAAAAAATTACCCAATTACCCTCGCAGCATCAAAACGTCAGATTTGATGGTTGCTGCTTGAACGGCACTGTACAGAGCCTGGTAAGGAATTAAACTGCTGACCGCAACGTATGTGAGACCTGGCAGCCAAAAATCATAAACACTCCAGGCTGTGAACTAGCAGCTTCTAAAAAATCTTGTCAGATTTTGCCACAGACTTCATCCCCAGAAGCCTTAAATTCAGCACAAATCAGCATGATGCAGGCACAAGCCTCCCAGGGATGAGTAAGGTTGCACTCTCCCCTTCCCTGCTTGTCTTGGAATGAGACAAGTGCTTTGCTAATGTTCCAGCTCTGTGTTTTAAATAGCCCTGTGTCTACCCAGCTAAATAGTGGCAGAGTAGCCCTGTCTGGAAGAAAGCTGTTTCTAGAAGGAAAACAGTCAGAGGAAATGTTTTTGCCAGAAACCTCGGAAATCATACAAAACAAAAAGGCAGTATGTGAAAGAATTTGCTGCTGAGTGCTCCCCAGTGTTTTTGTTCAGGCTCACAAAATGCTTCTTTTTGGAGCAATTTCCAGATAAGACCAAAGAAGGTGACAGGGTCCCTTCTTGGACAGTGTGACCCACCCCATCTGATGCCAGGTGTGATGTCCAGAGGGGGTTCTGGCTCTGGAGTGAGAGTAACTCAGCCTGAGAAAGTGAGCAGCCCTCTGACCCAACAGGGTCGCTCTCAACCCCGTGGTTCCCTCTAGCTCTGACTGAGCTGTATACCTCTAGCACAATTCAGATGACACTCTGAGGTACCTGAATGTATTTCAGCATCTTACATGTGTCACTCTCCCAAACAGACTCATAAAATGGCTTGGGCTGGGAGGGACCTTAACACTCATCCAGTTCCAACCCCCTGCCATGGGCAGGGGTGCCTTCCACCAGACCAGGTTGCTCCAAGCTGGCCTGGAACACTTCCAGGGATGGGGCAGCCACAGCTTCTCTGGGCAGTCCATGCCAGGACATCACTGGGAAGAATTTCTTCTTTGTACCTAATTTAGCCTGCTCTCTCTGTCAGCTTTAAAAATACCAAAGACCCAAACACCTTCTTGGGGTGACTGACATGAGGTGAGGAGCACCCATTGCAGCTCTTTCTCTATTTCTCTCCAGTGCTGGTATCTCAGGGGTGATTTGTTGTTTACCCAGCAAGCCCTTGTGGTATGGAGCTTCCTCTGAGCAGGTGAACTGGTGGGAAGCTGTGCTCCACTGGGACAACAGGATCAAGGAGGGAACTTTGCCCCATGCAGGTGCTGTGGTCTAGAACCAGCCTTGTCCTCTCTGTAAGAGAGCTTCTGTTATTCAGAAGTATCTTGCAGGTTCCCACGTATCTGTTTCTTGTTCAAATCCCCCCCAGAGTGATTATCAAGAAATACAAGGCATCCACAACCCCATTACAGCTGAGTGGGAGCCCCAGGTCCCCTGCACCTTCTGTAGTCTGCTCCAGACAGTTTTCACAGGCCAACCACTGCAGTGTGGCTGCTGACCTTAATCCCTGTCCTTTGCAATGCTCAGAGACTGTGGCTATTTATACTGATCTTATTGCAATGCTGAAAACTCTGCTGAGAGTGAAATTATTTCAAATCTATATGGGTATGATGCCGCATGAAGTTCTGGTTTGTAATTTCATAGCAAAGACATCCATTTATTAAATGGGCTCCAGGTAGGGTGTTTGATATAGAATATGGCATTGATCTATTTGCAGAATGTTTGGAAGAAGATCATTTTGGTTCAACCTGTTCAGCAAGATTCACTGCAGACACAGAAAGACAGAAAAATCAGCAAGTCAGAGGATCTCAAAAGAAATGTCTTGAGTTCCAGGGACTTATTCAATTGTTTCACAGGATGATAATATGAATTGCTTTAAAGGGAATAGGAAGAGAGGGTAATATAGATGTCCATCTTCCTGAGGAGTACTTAGCTTTTTCCATCCATTTGTCTCAGTGTTGACTTAACCCTGTTCTGTGGATGCAGAAGACTTAGCAGTAAGGACTCATTTAGAATGAGGGATGTTTTGCTTGAGCACTTTGTCATTATTTACAACTTAGGGGAATTTGAAATCTCATTGTTCTTTCTTGATTAACATACCTTTATAAGGTGTTCAGCTAGCATTACAATGAACTTGATTTATATATCCAGGTAGCCTGGATCTGCATGTGCCAGGAAAAAACCAGACCCCACACCCACCATGATAAGACAGCTGAATCAGGGGAGGTCTGGGACAATACCTGGAGCTGATCTGGGGGGGCAGGGACCATGCCCAGCCTCTGGATGACAAACCCACAGCACATGGGCTCACGTGCTGACAGGAATCTACTTGTGCCAGCACAGAAAGAGTGCTCAGTTCTACTGAGTTAGGAAGAAATCCAGGTAGAGTAAGGAGATGCTCTGCTCTGACTGCAGCTGGGCCCCTGAGCACCTCGGCGTGGTACTTTTGGAAGTGAGCAATAAGTGAAATTATCTACTTGACTGGTATTAAACCAGTGCACTACAGCAGTCCTGAATTTCCCTGAATCAAATCTTATCACAGCACTTCCTTTCCCAGAGGTGGTCCCTCTTCTCTTCCAGATGATGGACAGAGCTCAGTGCTGTGCTGGGGGTGTTTTTAGGTGAGCCACAGGCACTGTCCCACCTGAGCTGTGCTTGCTCCAGATGAACAAACCATCTTTCAAAGACACTTATGAAGTTGCACTTAAGTCTTATGAAACCTGATATCACCTCATAACCCCTTTGGTGCAGTCCTGAACTGGTGGGCAAACTCCTCAATGGAAATGAGGTAATTCCCATTAAGGGCAGATTTTTGTGCTGCTGGCAGGACCACGCACCATGCCCGAGGGTCTGCAGCAATGCCTTGGGGATTCTCTACTGGCTCGTGCTTGGTGGAGAATTCCTAAAAATGTCTCTGCATGCTGCTTAAAACTTGTGTTTGGCTTAAAACAGTAGACAGGCAGTTCCCTTTTCATATCTTGTAGTCAAGAGCTGCCAAAGATATGTAGATGCTTATATTCTGGCATTTCTATTCAGAGGAAGCATCGGTGCCCTGCTCACTGGCTGAATGGGGAAAGTCTCCCTCTGCACCTGAGCCTATTCCCTTTGGGTGGATCTTCTGGAAAACTGCAAGAGGAGCCACAGCCAGCAAACACTTTGCAAATCCTCCACCCAGACGCACTGCTGCTGCTGGACTAGAGCCCGTGCAAACAGCAGGGAAATTTTATTTCCTGTGATACATCCTTTGAGCTCTCCTTCCAGCAGATCCTGCTTCTTTTTCACATCAGCTCCTCTGCTGAATCTAGGACACGGAAGATGCTCAATCCTGCCTTCTGGGCTCTCCTTCATCAGATTTACAATGTTTTTGTGCTCCAACAGTAATCACAAGCTGCTTGCATTAAATGCCACACTATTGAAAACTCTTTCCAAAGGGCTCAGAGTCTTTGATCGTTCCTTGTAATAGCAGAAAACAAAGTATTTCTTTCAGTAATGAAAAATGAATTCCCACTTTATCCTTCAAAATGGCGGTGGATTTCTGTGCCTTGGATGTTATATAAGCCCATTGCAGTGGTCATTTTGAACAACTAAACTTCCTATAAACAGCTGAAATTTCCAAGGTGAGGATCCCATAGTTGCAAACACTGCCTTGGAGAGTGAGAGCACGTGCTGAAGAACAACAAAAACAAGAACAGATTTTTTAAAAGATGGGAGTTTGATACCAAAAATTAAGCATGGCCACAACAATTACAGCCATCTAGTGGGCAATTTTAAAAAAAATTAAATAACATTGATATTCAATTTCACTAGTAAGATACTCGTAAATGAGAGAGGTCTAGCATATAACGTGGAGAGTAGTTTTCACTGTTTTGTTGTTGTTCTTTCTTTAACCTATTCTTCAGGAATACAGAAAATGTCAAATATTTTCCTTCTTATATTGTAGTCTACAAATATTAGGAGAATTAGATCTCACCTGGTGCTACTATTTTAATGAGGGACTTGCTGAGAGCATCCAACGAAATGTGTCATTGCTCACACTGCAGCTGAAGGGACAGGACTGAATTTTTTAACAGAGATTTCCTTTCTCCAACTGGTACATTAAACTTT